AGTGAGTCCCGATTCGCGCGAAGTTCAGATGCCCTTTTGGGCCTCGCCGCGCCCCCCCCCTCCATGCAAGTAAACTTGCCGGCTTCTCCTTCACGCTTCCACGATGTGCAGCGGGCCCTGGGAGGCTACCCATGCCTCGCGAGCGGAGCAGTTCAGCACAGGTCTCATGTGCGGGCCTCCGCAGCCGTGGATCACAGTGAAGCGGCGCCTGGGTTGCGTGCTTGGGGCAGGGCGAACAGGGACCCCGCCAAGAAGGTGTCGGCCATCGCCCTTCAAGGTGTAGGAGGGGGAGGGAAGTGGAGGGAGTGTAGGATGGCCCTTCTTCCATATGGTATCCACATCATGCTCGCTAGGTCTGGAAAGAGGAAGCAAGTCTGCAGGCGGGGGACTTCTACGCGGGTAGCTTCATTGACTCATCCCGGATTTCTCGGGGGGGGGGGGCGGGTGGTTTAGCCAGTACATCTACTTCACCACCCAGTCGGTCCTAGAGGCGGATTTGTTTGCCGACCAGTCGGCGTCGGGGCAGACCGTGCTACTACAGGCCCTCTCCACGGCCAAATCTGGTGTTCCGCGAGTGGTGCATGGTTCCACGGGAATTGCTTCAAATTCCTCTGTCTTCGTCTCCCTCTTCTCCTTCTCCTCTTCCTCCACTGGGTGCGCCTCCTGAAGATAGTCAACGTTGACTTCGCTACGTCTGAGACGGTTACCACGTAACAAAACAAACGCTGACAGTGAGCAGCTACTGTAAGTTGTAGCGCTTTGCTGTTCCTGGCTGGACCACTTGATGATCCCCCGTGCGTTCCCCAGCATACTTTTGAGAATGAAGCGTCGACTCTGACGGCGCATGTCGTGCTTTTCGTTTTTAGTAGCATGCTGGATTGTAGGACGTCGCGCTTGTATGCGCGTTCCTTGCCTCGTAGTGGTAACGCATTGTTTTTGTTCCTGGAGTCGCACCGCAACTCGACTGCAATTCGATAGTTTTGTTCGGCCTTTGGGCCAACCAGTGTTCCCTAGCTGCGGCACCTCTTTTTTTGCCTCAGCTCAATTCTTAGCGCTCCGCGTATTCCCATCAGCCCACCCAGAAAAAAGGCCCAGGGCAGTTGCCAGGATAAGGAAGTACAGGAGCATGTGATGGAACAGGTATGCCAGCAACTGTGGATTAGAGCCCTCATGGAACCGCTCGGCGACAAGTTGAGCCATCTTTGGAATCCCTTGGACTCTCTTGGGAGCCTTGGAGGCCCTCTTGTGGGCCTCGGCGGCCGTCTCTGGTATTATCTCGGCGGATGGCGATCAAAGAGAAGGGAGAGCGTCATGTAGGGCCCTAACGTCGGAGCACGACGCATCGCCTCCTCGGGCCAGCTTAGAGCATCTTGGGGTGCTCTCGCTCAGAGTTCTTTGGTGCCCTCTTGGAGCCCTTCTGGGTTCTTATTGATGTTCCACTGGGCGATCTTGGGGCCGTCTTGAGGCCTCGAAGGCTCACCGGAAGAGGCAAGGCGACGCCGCGCATACCATTGAAACAAACACAGGTTTTGACAGACTGGGTCCTCTTGGGGCCATTCCTGGGCGGCTCCGTGCCCACTTGGAACCTTGTTGTTGTGGCCGTTGGGCTGCTTTCAAAGAAGGAACTAGTCTGGCGAAAGGACCCAACCATAGGCATTGTCTTCGGTGGAGCTCCCTATGGGGCGACACGGCGTGTGAGGAGTATGCCGACATCGGCGCGGAGAGCGCATGCGAACGCAGCAACTGCGGTCTTTGGTGGAGTTCCCGACGGGTCCACGAAACGTGTGAGGGATGTGCCGAAACAGGTGCGGCGGACGCATGCGAACACCGCCATTGGAGCCTTCGGTGGCGCTCCCTATTGGGCCACCAAACGTGTGAGTGGTGAGCCGGAAATGATTGGCGCGGACGCATGCGAACGCAGCCATTGGTGCCTTCGGTGAAGCTCCCCATGGGACCAAGAAGCGTGTGAGAGGTGTACAGACATGGGCGGGGCGGGCGCATGCGAATATCGCCATTGGACCTTCGGTGGAGCTCCCTATGGGGCCACGAAACGTGTGAGTGGTGAGCCGAAACTGATTGCGGCGGGCGCGTGCGAACGCAGCCATTGGGGCCCTCGGTGGCGCTCCCTGTGGGTGTGAGGGGCGTGCCGAAATGGGCGGGGCGGGCGCATGTGAATGTAGCCACTGGGGCCTTCGGTGGAGAACCCAATGGGGCCACGAAGCGTGTGAGGGGTGTGCCGACATGGGTGCGGCGGGCGTGCGAACGCAGCTTGTTGGGGCCTTCGGTGGAGCTCCCTATGTGGCCACGACGCGTGTGACGGGTGTGCCGCAATGGTTGACTGGTGCGGAGGGCAGAGGCAGGGATGGAAGGAGGGAGGAGCGGGAAGAGGCGGCGGGAGGGAGGGAGGGAGGGACGCGGGGCGCTGTTCCTTCAAAACGAAGACCCAACACCACAAAATGATCTGGACAAAACCGTAAACTTTCGATGGTCCGCACAGATTTGTTGGCTGGACTGCCCTGGCGGCGCCTCCGGCGCCGCCTTTGGCGCGCTCCGTGCGCCAGGGAAGGCATCCAGCGCAGATCCTAGAATCCGTGTGGACCGTCGAAAGTTTTTGTTTATGGCATTTGTTCTTTCTCTAACTGCGCGTGCGTACGCAACAAATTGATAAGGCTAGTTGGCCAGCGCGTAGCAACAAATACGACCCCCCGCCATCCCCGTCAAAAGGTAATGCCATGTTGTCGCCAGGAGCCCGTTTTTGCCCCCTCTATGCTTGGCATATCCTGCACCATCTGTGAGCCATCTGCTGCCACGTTGGACGCTCTCACCCCTCGCGGTGGCCGCGGGGTGCGTCCAGACCGCCAGGGGAGCGGTGGTCAAGCTCCCAATGTGGGCGCCACGCGCCGTGTCGCACGCTCCCACCCGCCCTCCCCCGACCCTCCCCTGCGCGCCGCCAGCTGTCACCGCATAAGTTCGAAGAGTAATGTCGGGATAAAGATACACGTTCGACAGTTCGCGCGGATTTCTTGGATCTGCGCTGGATCCCCCTCCCTAGCGCGCGGAGCGCGCCAGGGGCGGCGCTGGAGGCGCCGCCAGGGGGTCCAGCGCAGCTCCAAGAAGTCCGCCCGGACCGTCAAACGTTCATATGTATGACGCTTTTTCTTCCCCTACAGGTAGCGCGCGAGACTCAGCATAGGCAGAGGTCACCGCGAGATGGACAGCCCTGAGGAAGCGATGCCGACGCCAGGCACGCGACACTCTCGAGGTGCGCCGCGTTTGCCAGGTGCGCCATGCGCACCAGGTGGGCTGTGTCCGAGGGGCCAAAGCGTGAGGCGCGCCTGGTACGCCGAACGCGGCAGTGGCTCCAAGCGCGCCAAGGGCGCCGCGCGCTCCAGCCACGCCACGTGCGCGACGCGCGCGGAGTGCGCCAGGTCCCAGACTTCACGTAACAGTGCGTATCGAGCAATAGCTGCCGACATCCCCAGGACCCGGGTCAAAAGCACACGAATGAGTGAAGCAGGAACTCAAAGCGACGGCGGGGTGATTAGTATGGCGTATGGTTCGAAGAACGAACATCGGCATAAACATAATCTGTCGGAGCTCCGCGCAGATTCCTTGCATTTGCGTTGGCATTCCCTGGCGGCGACTTCGGCATCCGCGCGGACCGTCGAACATCTTTATGTTTATGCTGTTTTTTCTTCGCTCATGCTGCGCGCGCCCGCAAACACTGCTCACTCGTGCAAGGCTAGTGGGCCAGCGCGTGGAGGCAAACGTGACCCCCCGACATCCCCGTCGAAAAGGTACAGCGCAGCTGCCGCTGGGTGCCCGCTCACGATCCAGACCTTGCCGCAGCGTGGCATGCTGAACGTTGGCCTGACAGGGATCGTGCGGTGGCAGTGCTGGGTCCTCACCAGCGGCTGGACGAGTCGGTGGGGGGCGGCCAATCTAGGCCTCCCAGATGGGGGTCGGAGTAGATGGGGTCGGAATGCATCGCCGACGTCGAGGATACATCGCCGATGTATGGGCGAGGCGGCGCGATCCTCCGACCCCATCTACGCCGACCCCACCTAGGAGAGCTCTAGGCCAAGAGGGAGGTGATGACTAATGGGAGGGGGGGGGGGATATCATGGCCGGAGCCAGGAATTCTCCCCGGATGGCATGGCGCCTTTTCTTTTTTCTTTCAGTGCGTCCCCGAGGCTGGAGGAATGCAAACAAATAGTCAAACAATAATCGGGGGACGGTTTTTGGAAGTATTATTTGAGCATTCCGATTTATTGGTGTAGATACAGTCATGTGTATATATATATATACATAGTATGTTTCAGTTGTCGTTCAACGTCCACCTGTAGGGGGACCTGTCCAACTTAACCCTAGGTCGGGCATGTCCCCCTACACGCGGATCTTGGGCGAACAATGAAAGTCCCCCAAACATATATCAAGCAGGTTCAAAAGCGATCACAGAGCCGTCCCCATATTATTTTCTTTGACTCTGTTTGACTCTTCCTCCTATTGAGGGACAGGCCGGACTTAAACTCAACCCCAGCCCCCCCCCCCGCGAGTTAAACTGAACCTTAGCCCCCCCCCCCGCGACTCAAACCGAACCCTAGCCCCCCCCCCCCCCCGCGACTCAAACTGAACCCTAGCCCCCCCCCTCCCCCGCGACTTAAACTGAACCACCCCAGCCACCCCCACCCCCCGCGACTCAAGCCGAACCCTAGCCCTCCCCCCCGCGAATTAAACTGAACCCTAGCCCCCCCCCTCCCCCCGCGGCTTAAACTGAACCCTAGCCCCCCCCCCCGCGACTCAAACTGAACCCTAGCCCCCCCCCCCGCGACTTAAACTGAACCTTGGCCCCCCCCCACCTCTGAATCCCAAGGAGCCTCTGGAGGTACTCAATCACGCTGGTGATGTGTCGTGGCTCCTCAAACTCTCTCTCGAAACGTATCTCCTTGATCTTCTGGATCAAGTCACTCGAAGAATGTCAGAACACCTTTTGTTCTGTGCTAGGGCGACCAGGCTCCCAGGTGCCTGGTCTTGCCACTGAACCCAGTGGGCTGGATGAAAAGATCCCGCCCGCCCTCAACCTCTCGGGCCAGAGTGGGCGGCGGAAACAGGGACACGGCAGAGGCAGCATCGCATGACCCGAAATGGGTCTGGAACAACATATACTGTTGCGATGCATTCAGACAGGCGGAAAAAGGGCTGCCGTGTCCGCCGGGCCTGGCTGGCCCTGCTGCTGGAAGGTCACCTTCTGACCGTCCGTGCTGTCGTCGTGCTGCGTCTAACTGTTGATCTGGCGGCGCTCCTGACGGCGCCTCTCGAACACCTCCTTGGCGGCTTTCGAGTCCTCTGGTGTCGTTCGTCTTGTCGAAGATGCCTCGGCCTAATGCCGCGCGCTTCCGCGCGCTCACGAAGTTCTCGTCGTAGATCAACCCCCACTCCTGCTTCTCCAGGAACAGCTTCAGCACTCCGAACGCTTGCCAGTTGCCCTTGGTGAGCCCGTCCGCGATCTGCGAGTGCGAGTGCACCCGCCGCACCAGCGTCTTGCCCTCGTCGAGGGCGCTCCGTAGCGCCAGCGCCTCGATCGCGGTCCGCCGCTCCTCGAGGCCCAGCCCCGCCGACTGAGACCGCACCACCCCGTCGTAGAAGGCCCTGCAGTCGGTCACGAGCACCGCTGGCAGGTGGTGGAGCATGTCCATGCGCTCCCGCACTGGCGACTTGTTCAGGAGGATCTCCGCCTGCACCATGCGCACCATGCACTGCTCTCCTTCGGCGTCTCCAGCTTCCTGCACTTCCGCTGCAAGGCTCGACCGAGCCACGCGGCGCAACTTCTTGGAGCCCCAGCCGAGCACCGTGAACTCTGCCTTCTCGCCGTGCATCGCCTTGGCGGCCGCGACCGCGGTGAGGTGGCCTCCCTGAGAATGCCCGCCGGGCCGGCTGGCCCAGGCGGCGTCGCACCAGGTGAAGACGGCCAAGTCGTCCATGTTGTGGCGATGTATATGGAGTCCTATGTGCTGGTTCTGCTTGATCAACTTCACGATGTTGTTGGCCGTGGTGAAGAGGCTGCGCGTGCCGTTCAGGATCTTGGACTGAAGCTCGGCGACCCACGCAAGCAGGAAGGGCATCGTGTTCACCCCCAGCCAGTAGACCTCCCCGCAGAACGCCCTGAGGATGGTCTGATCCTTCTCGCGCAACGTGTCGGAGGGGCGATGGCGCCCGTTGTCTGCTGGACGCACTTCTTGGATTTTGTCGGCGTATGCCCTCTGGCGTAGGAAGAAACCCTTCGCGTTCTCCACGATAGTGACCCCGCGCTGCTCCAGGCTGTCAATGCCCGCGTTCATGTCCTTCCAGGTGCCCCACTTATAGAGTTTGCGGATCTGCTGAACGTTGGTGTTCCGCTCCTCGTGGTCGGTGTCGCTCGCCAAAATGAAGTTGCCCACGTGCGCCATGGCCCGTCCGATGAGACGGCCCGTCCAGGAGCACCGCAGCGTCCACATGCAAGGTCCCAGTTCGCACGCCTGAAGTCCCAGCTTTTTGAAGTCGACCTTGACGGTCTCCCGCCAGTGACGCGGGGCCTCGCCGATTCCATAGCCAGGCTTGGTCACCTGGAGGAGCTCACCGTCCTTCACATTGAATGCCTTCTTGAGCACGTTGTCGGGTTCGATGAAGTAGTCCTTCTCGAGCTTGTTGGCCTGTAGGAGTGCCGAGGTGACGTCGCCCTTGGTCAGCTTCCAGTGCTTGGCGGCGGCGATGGTGAGCACCACGTTGCGCGCCCTTCGGGATGCCGTCGGGCTCGCGGTCGGTGCCTTGCCAAGGTCCTTGGTCTGGTAGCCTAGAAGGACGAGGCGGGCCTTTGCACGACCATCGGCCTTGCGGGTGAAAAGCCAGCGCGCCCTGATGATGTCCGCGGTGTCCCTCACTCGTGATGCAGGTGCTGGTTGTAGCCCCTGGTGTTGCACCCAGTTGTTCGTCTCCTTGGCGATGGCCTCCTCGAGCTCCTTGCGCTCGGTCGCATTCATCTTGGACCAGGTGAGCTCCACCTTGTCCTTGCGGCGTTGTTTGGCAATAAAGCTGTTGAGGATGTGGGATGCGAGATCCCTGTCAGCTGTCTCCCCCCCCGCTGTCGTTCCTCACGCACTCGAAGTAGACGGTCTGGTGCTCGTCGGCCCCCAGGGTGATGTCCAGGTCGTCGTGAAGTAGGTTGACCAGGAGTTCCTTGTCGTCCGTCCCGTCGTTGCCCTTCTGTCGTTTCTCAGGAGGTCGGTAGAGGTCGATCTCCTGTCCACGGTGCGTCATCCGATAACGAGGCCGTGATGGGGCTGCTGGCGACGATGAGCTTCCTGATGGTGGCGATCCTGCGGCGGTTCCAGGTTCCTCAGCAGGACGAGCAGGTTCGGGTGGAGCTGGTTGTGCTGGTCTGCTGGTGACGTCCGTGTCCCCGTGGTCAGGAGGTAGAGGAGGATCTTCGGGTAGTTCGTCTGGCTCACTTCGGGCTGGGCTACAGAGCGCGGTGTTGTCGCCCGGGACTCCTGCGCAGGTGGCTCCTCCTCCATGGCCTCGCCGGGAGGTTCTTCAGGTACTTGCTCTGCAGGTCCAGGGTCCGGAGGCTGCTGTGGCTCGTGCCCTCGAAGGTCTGGGGGCCGTTGTTGTAGGAGGTCCTCGTAGGTGCCAGACTTGGCGGTCTCGAGAATCTCGGTCATGGTCTTCCCGAGGTCGGCCTGCTTCTGCAATTCGGTGATCATCTTCTCGGCCTCCGAAGCTGGTCGAAGTTCTGGCGCACATCTGAGGAGCGTGTTCCCGTGAGCGATCCAGACGACTGACGTAGTGCGGATGCGGCCGTCGATGTGCCTCTTCTCCTGGATGAGCACCCTCGCAGGACCATGCCAGCCCCCTTTCTTGCCGGGCTTATTTTCGCGGCCCTTCCCCTCTCGCCAGAAGTGCACAAGGTCGCCGGCCTCCCGTGTCTGGTACACGCGGTTCCGGGCTTGTTCAGCATGTCGACGTCGCTCAGCGTATTCGCACTCCAGGTAGCTCTTGCGGGCAAGCAGTCGCCGCTGCTCCTGCGTCTCCCCCGTGTCACCGTCGATGATGGCAAAGGGGTTGTTCGAGGCGGGCGTGCCCGTCGCGCCCAGGACGCGCTCGAACGGCGAGTGCCAACCTTGTCCATGGAGTTCATCGCGCTGACGGCCCAGGTGAGGAGCTCCTGAACCTCGCAATCGGGGTCGAGGGCGGCCAGCTTCGTCATGGGCTTCTTGAAGAGCTGGATGCGGCGCTCGACCTTGCCCATCAGCCAGTGAGCTTCTCCGGGGCGATCCAGATCTCGATGCCGTGGTCCGATGCCCACTTGGCGACGGCCTGAGAGCAATGACAGCCCTCTGGATCCATGCGAATGAGCGACGGTCGTCGGTAGTGACTGCACCAAGACTCCCACGTAGAGATGACCTCTGTGGCCGTACGGTTGCTGCTGCGCTCGCCCTTCTGCCCGTGGTACGTCACGCTGGTGAGGCCCGAGCCCTCGTCAATATTCAGCGCCATGAAGTGGGGCGTCTGCTGATGTGATAGCCATTCGAGTCCATCGGCCGCAAGTACTTCAAGGACGCCCGGTACCTCCACACCTGAGGCTACTCAGACTGCCTTCGGCAACTTCCCGACATGGCATCCATGACATTGAAATTGGAGCGCCAGACGAAGGACATGAATGGAAGGTCCCGATGCCTTCAGGATATTGTAGAGCGTCTTGTTACTGGGATGTCCGAGATTCCGATGTAGCCGTGACAGACGCTGCTCGATCTCGGAGGTCTCTTTCTTGGCCAGCTCAGTCTTGATCCCCATGCCCTTGATGGGGGTCTCCACGGTCTCCATCTCGATGTCCTCGTCCTTCGGCAACTCCTCCTCGTCATCGGGCATGTCGACGTCGTCCTCCTCTGGAATGTGCTCCAGACCTGCGAAGATCTCTTTGCCGTAATTCACACTGGCGTTCTCCTTCATGATGTGCTTGGCCCAGGACTTGCACATGGCAGGAGGGTAGTAAGCGACTTGTGCCACCAAGCGCCCATCCTCGATTATTCGATGAAGATGGTTATCTCCTCGCCCGGGGCGGGTGGAGCACACGCGGCCAACCTTCATGCCGAACTCGGGGTCCGTCGAGCAGACGCGCCAGGCCTTCTTGATGAGTAGACCAGTCCGTTCATCTCGAAGTCTGTAAGCACAGCCATGGACGATGGTCTCGTCCATCTCGGATCGCATCTCTTGATGAAGGGTGACCTGGACCAACTCCGGCTGTTCCAGGGGTGCTCGAGCTCCGTGTGACAATCCGCTAGCTTCTGGGCCTCTTCGTAGAGCGAGAGGCACCCTCGCTGAAACCTTCGTGCCTGGCGGATCTTGTTGGAGAGCTGTTTCCTCTGCGACTCGGTCTTTTGGTTCAGGTTTTGGAAAGGGGTAGTCTGCCGTGCAGGGTGGACTGAGAACAAGGTGCCGCGGTCGCGCCAGTCGGAGCAGATGTATCGCTCGGCGCACACCTGTAGCTGTTCCCATGTCGTAGCCGTTGAAAAGCCCGCAGCGTACAACTCTGCCTCCTTGAGCTCCGATGGCTTGTCCGAGAGACGAATCCTTCGGGCAGCAGATCTCCATCAGGTCGGCTCTGGACGTTTTGGACAGGATGGTGGTGTCTTCCCCGATCTCGGCGTAGATCTTCTCCATCACCTTCTCCTGAGCCTGGTAGAACATCTGCAGGTCGGTGCTGTCCAGCGGCTTCACCGGCCCCGCTTCTCCTGCATTTCGGCCAGCTCCGAGTCGTCCAGCATGGTGTCGTCTGGCTTCGGCAGGAACTCCCAGGGGCCCTCCGGATCCCGCTTCGCCACCTTCGCCGCGAGCCATCGCCACCTCATCGCAACTGCCTGGCTGCGTATGTCCCCGAGCGCCTCGCTGGTGGGCTCGGTCGGCTGCTGCTTCAGGCACTGGTGACTCTTCCCCCCGCGGGGGGCCTGAGGCACAGGTGGCGGCGGCACCAGGGGATTTGGTGTCGGTGCTGATGGTGTTCCCCTGGCCGGTGCTGCTGCTTGTGGTGCTGGAGGTACTGGGTAGCCCATCTCGTAGAACGCTTCTGGTGACACCATGGGTGCCGCTGCTGGTGGCCAAGCTGGATGTGCTCCGTACTGAGCCTGTGGTGAAGACAGTAGTGCGACCGGCCCCCGCTGCAGCTGCATCCTCTCTTGGTCCGTCCCAGTGCTCCGCAGCATCCGCATCGCCCTGGAGGATTGTACCTCACTGGTGACCCCGTCGGGCTGTTGACGGGTATAGGGATCGGTGGCGATGGTGGCATCGATCCTGGTGTCGTTGGTGACGCTGCTGAGCTCGAGTTGGCGGTCCAGCACGTGTCCGAGGCCGGGCCCACTCGGGCTGTCCCGCAGCTGGCGGCTGCGAAGAAGAGTCTCCGCATGACATCCGCCGAACTTGATTATGTAGGATATGGAAGAGCTGAAGCACTGGGGTCCGCGAGGATTCCTTTTCATTGATTTTGAGCCGTACGGGGCTGAGGTCCAGTTCTTGTTCTCAGACATTCTCTTGGAGGCTTTCTCTGGCAAACATCCTCGGAGGTGGCTCGCTTGTGACCTTGAGAGGCCTCCCCAGAAGCCATGGTAGTACCCCCTGAACTCGCTCGGGTTCCAAGATCTGCAAAGTCCCTGATGTCCTAGACGCCGTTCCTCCTGAGCTAGATCGTGTCCCTAGAGTTCTGGAAGCCTCTGAAGTCCTCGACGTAGGCCCTGAAGCGGTAGGTGTCGGCATCGTAGATTTCGGAATCCTCGGGCTGCTCGAACGCATCGCGGTCGACAGTCTTCTCTCGGTCGATTGTCGTGTTGAACTCGCTCTTCTCGGAATCGGTGTGCTGCTCGGTCTCTGAGTCGGGATTGGTCCGCTCGCGGCCTCTGGATGTTTCTGGGTACCTCTGGTAGGATCAAACGCGTCGGACTGGACTTGAGTATCTGGATCTCCCCTCTGATGTGGCCCCCCCGGTGATGGCGGTAACGGTTGCGATGTTGCCTCGCTCGCTCGCACCACCAGGGGGTGCTGCCCCTAGTGCACGGCGCCGCAGCCAGCGCAGCCCACGCAGGGCTCCTCTGACTCCTCCATCAGTACGTTGGAGTCCTGCTCTACCATGTTGGCCTGGCAGCGCTCCAAAGACAAGGGCACAGGTACTTCACGCCACCACTGCGGCGTCGACAGGTTGATCGCCAGGTGCTTGCTGGAGAGCCGCTCGCAGTAGTAGACCTTGTTGCCCAGTGTCGGTAGGCCAAGCCAGTTGCGGCCACAGTCCACCACCACCTTCAGGTCGTCCGTCAGGATGTCCATGCCCAGGAGGATCGGAACGCGGTTCGCCATCACCGAGAGGCTGATCTCCCGCAACTGAGGTCCCAGGAAGGCCTTGCCCGCGACCGTCCCCATGGAGCTCTTCTGGAGGCCGCCCCCAAAGGTGAAGGAGCAGGTGTCGCTGTGGGCCTCGAACTCCACATTGTGGTTCACCAGCATCTTGTACATCAAGTTCTCCACGCTCTCGACACCGCCCAGGCTGCGCGTCGCCCCGATGTCCAGCACGGCCCAGATCCCCTCGCGCTCCAGCAAGTAGACGCACTCGTCCAGCGCCGACAGGATGAAGCCGTTGTGCGTCGTCCCCGTGCCAGCAGTAGCGCTGTTCCCGACCTTGCCACGGTCGGGGCAGTCTCGAGCACGGTGTCCGAGCTGCCTGCAGATGATGCACTTCATCTTGGAGAGGTCGCGTGCCCCCTCGAATCGTACTCGTCGATCTTGTCCACGTCCCCGACCTTTGCCAGGTCCCCGAAGTCGCCCTTCTGGATGTGGCTTGGGAGGTGGCGCCACGCGCTTGTCGTCGTCCCTTGGCACCACGACCGGGTAGTAGTCCCGCGCCACACGCGCTTGTCGAAGCAGATCTCGAGCGTCCTTGAAACTCCGCCCCGCCTGGCGGAACTGCGCGAACACCTCGTTGTCCGCCTCCAGGTCGGCAGCCTCTTCATCGTCGTCGTCCTCGTCTGCAAGGTCGATCAGCTGTTCGACCATCTCGTAGATTTCGTCAACTTCCCCACCAGTCTCGTGCTCGTCGTCGTCGGCGTCGTTCTCGTACAGGGCCGTCCAGCTCCGCCAAGGCCTCAGCCGGGAAGCGTGTCAACAGGGTCTTGTAGGTCTTCGCAAAGTTGAAGTCCCCCCGGCGGTCGCCGTCACCTCACCTCGTAGTGCGGGCGTGAGCCTGGACTTCCTCAAGAACCACCATGTACGGAGCGGTTTGGCAATCACTTCCTTGACGTCCGGGTCGATCGCCTGCAGCTGCGAGAGCAGCTCTCTCTCCTTCTTCTCGAACCTAGCGGCCCAGTCCTGGAAGGTCTCGCCTGAGTTGCGCGCGACCTTCAGGAAGAACTCCTCTGCCAGTTTGCCTGTGTCGTTCAGGCTGGTGTAGTCCAACTTGTCCAGCACGTAGTTGAACACCGTCTCCCAGCCGACCAGTCTTCCGCCCCCGTCCACACGGCCCACGTCGTCGATGGACGGGCAGCTCTCCACGGCGTTCCGAACCCGCGGCCCAAGCGCCCGAACCAACTGTGGACCACAGACGTAGCGGTCGCTCAGCCTGATGCTCTTCACGAACATGGCCACTTCGAAGTGGTAGCTCGACAGCTTCTCTGCCTCCCCGTTCCATGATGGCACCTCCACTCTGGCCGGCGTCGAAGAGCCTGATGTAGTCGCCATCGTGACGAGACTGGTGGGAGCCCGTGGTCGTGTCTCCACGAGCTCCGCTACCAATCTGAATCCCAAGGAACCTCTGGAGGTACTCAATCACGCTGGTGATGTGTCCTGGCTCCTCAAACCCTCTCTCGAAATGTATCTCCTTGATCTTCTGGATCAAATCGCCCGAAGAATGTCAGAACACCTTTTGTTCTCTGCTCGGGCGACCAGGCTCCCAGCTGCCTGGTCTTGCCACTGAATCCAGTGGTCTGGATGAAAAGATCCCGCCCTCCCTCAACCTCTCGGGCCACAGTGGGCGGCGGAAACAGGGACACGGCAGAGGCAGCACTGCATGACCCGAAATGGGTCTGGAACAACATAGACTGCTGCGATGCATTCAAACCACCACCCCCTCCCCCCGCGGCTTAAACCGAACCCTAGCACCCCTCCCCCCCCCCCGGGACTTTCACGCGCCTCGGGCCATGCTCCGCGCCCTCCTCGCTGGGACGCCCCCTGCTTTGGCGCCCCCCCCGTCGGCGAAGGGAAGTGCCCTCGTGAGGGGCAGCTCCAAACAGCCTCCTCCGCCTCCGCCTCCTCCTCCTCCGCCTCCTCCTCCTGTCCTCCCTCCTCCTATCCTCCCTCCTCCTCCTGTCCTCCCTCCTCCTCCCTCCTCCTCCTCCTCCTCCTCCTCCTCCCTCCTCCTCCTCCTCCTCCTCCTCCTCCTCCTCCTCCTCCTCCTCCTCCTCCTCCTCCTCTCCTCCTCCTCCTCCTCCTCCTCCTCCTCCTCCCCCCTCCTCCTCCGTCTCCTCCTGTCCTCCTCCTCCTCCTCCTCCTCCTGTCCTCCCTCCTCCTCCTCCTCCTCCTCCTCCTCCTCTCCTCCTCCTCCTCCTCCTCCTCCCTCCCACTCCTCTCCTCCTCCTCTCCTCCTCCTCCTCCTCCTCCTCCTCCTCCCTCCTCCGCCTCCTCCTCCTCCTCCTCCTCCTCCTCCTCCCCTCCTCCTCCGTCTCCTCCTCCTCCTCCTCCTCCCTCCTCCTCCTCCTGTCCTCCTCCTCCTCCTCCTCCTCCTCCTCCTCCTCCTCCTCCTCCTCCTCCTCTTGCTCCTCCTCCTCCTCCTCCTCCCTCCTCCTCCTCCTCCTCCTTCCTCCTCCGCCCCCTCCTCCTTCCCCCCCCCGATGATGAAGAATGGGGTCGGAAGTGGTGAGCTGCTAAAGCACCTACGCCCGTAGGGTTTGTGGAATTGCTGTTCTCTCGGGTTCTCTCTCTCTCTCTCTTTCTTTCTGGTTTCCCTCCCTATCTCTCTCTCTCTCTCTCTTTCTCGCTCTCTCTGTCTCTCCCTCTCTCTCTCTCTCCTTGATTCGTCTCGTCGTTGTTTTAGGGCGCTGCTGTCTGATACATGGTCCTTATGCATGGTCCTTGTGTTTGGACGCCCATTTTCACCTTGCGGCTCCGCAGTGCACCCCTTCTCCTCTTCCTCCTTCTCGTTGTACAATTTCCTCGTGATCCTTCGCCTTCTCCTCTCCTCGTCCTGCTTTTCCGTTCTTATTCCTCTTATGCTTCTTCCTCTCCTCCACACCCTCTCCTCTTCCTGCTTCCCCTCTTTGGTTACTGTTTAAGATAGGGGCGGAGAACTCGCGTGGCAGGCACTTCCTTCGTGGCGACCGCTGATGATACCCATCGCTGACTGGAACGAGTGGAAAAAGCTCCCCGCTCCCCATCAGTTGCTTACCAGGCATACCCACAGGACCGCACTGCGGGTGATGAGGAGGTCGGGCAACGTGCTTTGCTTTTGAATGACTCGCACTCGCAACGCACGGGTCAACCACAGATCAACCACGGGACAACAATCGGGACAGCCCGATGAAAAAGCCGCGGGAAAACCACAGGACAACCATCGGGACCACCATCAGGACAACCACGGGACAATTGCTGGACAACCATCGGGACAACCACGGAGACAATGCTGAGACAACCACAGACATCGAGACAACCACGGGACAGCCATCGGCACAACCATGGGGACAGCAACTGGGCAACCAGAAGGACAACCATTGGACAACCATCGGGATCACCCTGTGGATAACCAACGGGACAACTACCGGGACAACCATGAGTAGAAGCAGTGTTGGGTGAGTGGTAGTGGGGAGGCTCATGAATGGGGGGGTTCGCGAAAGTTGCCCCAAAGGGCCCTTTAGGGCCCCCTTCGGCCCCCTGCTGTCTTGAAACGGGGCCCGACAGGGTACCCTTAGGGCCCCTTTATTCAACCCTCAAGTAGGTCACCCCCCCTTACCACCCGCTCGACTTTCTGGGCCTTCCGAGGCTGATTCGGCTTCGGATGACCCCCTGGAGACCTCCAGAAGAAGCTGCAGAGCCTTTCGGAGCCCTTCGACCCCACCTGGAGCGCTCTCCTCCCATACCTTCGCCGCGGGCTGGAGGGGGAGGAATGGAGGGGAGGGAGGGGAGGGGAGGGGGACAAGCTAGGTGCGCTCGCGTCATATCTGACGTCCTATCCATCCCTCCCATCCCTTGCCATGGCGTCGATCTCCTTTCTATTCGCACAATCTGATGTCGCAGCATGACATAGCATTGCATGGCATAGCATGGTGTCGAATCTCAACGCGTAGCATGACATGGCATGGCGTGGCGACGCTCCAAAGTGGGGGGGGTGGGGGCTTCTGCTGCCCCAAAAATCAAAGAATCGGCAACCAAAGTGTAATCACTTCCGATGGTTTTTTGGGAGGCCATTTTTTAGATTTGGGGGCCAAATTGGAAGGACCGAAAACAATGCCGGGTCATGGCACTCGAATTGATGAGGCCAGCGCTGCAGCGGGAGCACGATTCGGAACGAGCGGAAGCGCGGAATTGAGGCCAGCGTTGCAGCGGGAGCACGATTCGGAACGAGCGGTGGCCCGAAAATGAGGCCAGCGCTTCAGCGAGAGCAGCCTTTTGAAGAAAACCAGCGCGGAAGCTCGGAAGTGAGGACGCGTAGCCTGACATAGCATGGCGCGGCGACGCCCCAAAGGGGGGGGGGGTGGGGGGGGATTTCGCGGCCCAACAAATCAACGAATCGACATCGAATGTGTAATCACTTCCACTGTTTTTTTCGTGGGGGCTTTTTTTTGATGCGGGGGCCGATTTGGAAGGACCCAAAACCATGCCGTGGCATGGCGCTGGAAATAATGACGCCAGCTCTGCAGCGGGAGCACGATTCGGAAAGAGCGGAAGCGCGGAAATGAGGCCAGCGCTGCAGCCGGAGCACGATTCGGAACGAGCGGTAGCCCGAAAATGAGGCCAGCGCTTCAGCGAGAGCGGCATTTTGAAGAAAACCCTGGCGAAAACCCATTTCCCGGGAGTCCTGTCTGTAACAAATCAGTTCGCGGAGGGAGGCTGGACAATTCCTTGGACGCCACCAGGAGAGAGGAGAGCAGTACTAAGATTATGCAATTGTGGAGGAGTTGGGAGGGGAGGGACCCTGACCTTCCAGAGTGCTCAAAAAATAGCGCTCCAGATCAATAGACCTACCTGGACTGTCTCAAGCCTCGACAGGAATTGAGACGTCGACGCCCTGGTGCTATGTTTGTTGCCCTCCTGCAGGGTCAGGGAAGGAGACCCCTCCCTCCCCCACCCCTCCCGCCTCCCCTCCCCGCCCCGGCGGGCCGCCCCCCCCCGGCTGCGCGAACTCGAGAGGCTTCCATCCGGGCCTCGGGACCACCCTCGGGGCAACCGTCGGGGCCAGCGCGGGACCGCCGCGCGACGGCCCCGAGGCACTCCCCCAGCGAGTCCCGGGGCCCGGCTCGTGCTGGCGCTTCGCTGCGCCGGAGTCGTGCTGGAGCTCGCGCTTCGGGGGCCCTTCGGCCGGGTGGTCATGGCCGAAGAGGAACAAACGCAGAAACATCATCTGTGGCGCTCGGCGCAGATATCTTGGATCCGCGCCTGGGCCCCCCAGCGGCGCCTCCGGCGCCGCTCTTGGCGCGCTCTGCGCGCCAGGGAGCGGGTGTCCAGCGCGAATCCAAGAAGTCAGCGCGAGGCGCCAAAAGTTTATATCATGCGGTTTTTCTTTTTCTAAATGGGGGGCAACCCAAATGGGGGTGAAGAAGAGGGCCCTCAAGGGGTTTTACAAGTCGGGGACTGATAAGACTCAGGTTCGGGGGACTCGGGTTGGCCTGTCGGGGCCATCATGAGAATGACGAGATCCGGTTTGAAATTTGCCGCGAGCTCCCGCTGCAAACATCCCACGAAGAGTGGACCGTTCCACGAGAGGCCCTTTGGGGCCCCTCTTGGGCCCCTGCTGGCCCATCCTGGCGGCGGCGAAGCGTGCTAGAGCGATATGCCAGTCGGGGAGGAGGGTGGACGAGACGGCGGCGTCAGGCGCCCGCGGGCGGGTGTTCAGGGGGGTGGCCTACATGGGGGGGTCCTGGTGGCCTACATGGTGGGGTCCCGAATGAGCCCCCCCCCCCTCCCACCCTGGTCCTTGCCGGGCGGGAGGGGCAGGAAGGGTGTTGTGCACGGCGACAGACATCGTCTCTCACAGCCGCTAGCAGCAGCACAGGGGAGGGGGAGAAAACGGGGTCTTGAAGGAGCCCCTTCTTGTGGCCCCTCTCTCCAGAAGCCCTCTCTCTCATGGCCCCCCATCGTGGCCCCCGCCGTGAGCTAGGGAAAGTTGTTGTGCAGGGCCTGATGCCGCAGGGGTGCCATCTGCCACCTGCCGGGGCAGAAATCCCGACCGCAGATTGAGGGGAGAGCCGACGATGACACGAGGCGGGTCCGCGACGTGCATGCCTGGTGACGGTTCTGTGTCGTAGTGGTTGCGCCGAATGTTCACCTCTGCCGCCGCCGTGTCAGCGGTTCGATGAGATTGTTTTTTTGCCACCGCGGGGACTGCTAGGCGCGTTTCCTCTCTTTCGGGCTCTTCGCATTCACGGCATGAGCTCCTCTGTTGTTCTGTTTGATCCATGGTTGCTACAGCGTGCCATTCACCATCACGTGTGTGTGAAATGATTTTTGGTGCTCCAACTCCATCTTCTTCA